TATAAATTCATATGATGTGATTTTCTGGAATTTTCTTTGGGATTCTGTCTTTCACTGTTAGAATGTACATATGATTAAAGTTATAGATCGTTGCATTCTTTGTAAGTGGGCAAACCTGCAAAATCAGCAAGGGGTCAAATACTTATTTCCCCCACTGTAACTGCCTCCTGGCTTCTTCTGGACCTGCTTATGCCTTTAGCCCTGACCCTGGGTGTGGCTCCTCCCCCTCAGGTATCTGGTCATCACCCAGCCCCTGTGGTACAGATTCCGGAGGACCATCAGGAACTCTTTGGTTCTCTGCGTCTTCGTGTGGCTCCTCCCTCTGGTCTACGTCCTCCCGGTCTATTTCGGGACCGAGTATTACATCCGGGAAACCATCTACGTGGTGTTCATCCTCTCCCCACTCCCGCTGTTCCTGTTCTTCCTGGCGGGGACCGTGAAAGCCCTGTAGGCGGCCCGCAGCGTTTCGGCCGAGGAAAAGCGCCGAATCGTGGCGATTCTGGTGGTGGTGCTTCTGATCTACGCGGTTCTCTTCCTGCCCGGCGCCGTTTGGGCCTTCGTGCCCGGGGCCAAGAGCATCCACGCCTTCCACAACACCTCCGTGATCCTGCTCTACTGCAGCCCCCTGGCCGACCTCACTCTGTACGTCTTCATCAGGAAGGGCGTCGTGGACCAGCTCCTGGCTTTCCTGTGCTGCTGCAAGATGTCGGGCAAACAGGAAACGAGCAGCGTTACCAACGACAACGCGTCCACGTCGTGCATCGAGACTCTGTAGGGTCTCTGTTCTGCACACAGATCTACAGTCATGGCCAAAAGTTTTGAGAATGATTCAAATGTTAATATTTACAAAGTCTACTGCTTCGGTTTTTACAACAGCAATTTGTATATACTCCAGAATGTTAAAAAGAGTGTTCAGCATAACAGCAATTAATTGCAAAGTCAATATTTGCCTAGAAAATTAACTTTATCCGGCAAAACACATTTCAACGTCATTGTTGCCAAAATGGCTCCAGGGCGCCCAAGAAAGACCAGCAAGCACCAGGACCGTCTCTTAAAAGTGTTTCAGCTGTGGGATCGGGCTACCAGCAGTTTCAGAGCTAGCTCAGGAATGGCAGCAGGCAGGTGTGAGGGTTAGGGTTAGGGTTAGGGTCAGGGTTTGGGTTAGGGTCAGGGTCAGAGTTTGGGTTAGGGTCAGGGTTAGGGTGTGAGGCGGAGACTCCTGGAGCAAGGTCTGGTCTCAAGGAGGGCAGCAAAGAAGCCACTTCTCTCCAGGAAAAACATCAGGGACAGACTGATATTCTGCAAAAGGTACAGGGGGTGGACTGCTGAGGACTGGGCTAAAGTCATTTTCTCTGATGAATCCCCTTCCCCATAGTTTGGGACATCTGGAAAACGGCTTGTTTGGAGAAGATGAGGTGAGCGCTACCACCAGTCTTGTCTCATGCCAACTGTAAAGCATCCTGAAACCATTCATGTGTGGGGTTGCCTCTCAGTCAAGGGAGTCGGCTCTCTCACAGTCTTACCTAAAAACACAGCCATGAATAAAGAATGGTACCAGAATGTCCTCCGAGAGCAACTTTTCCTAACCGTCCAAGAGCAGTTTGGTGATGAACAAGGCCTTTTCCAGCATGATGGAGCACCTTGCCATAAAGCAAAGGTGATATCTAACTGGTTTAAGGAACAAAACATAGAGATTTTGGAAACTCCCCTGATCTTAATCCCATTGAAAACTAATGGTCAATCATCAAGAGACGGGTGGAAAAACGAAAACCTAGGAATTCTGACGAAATTCAAGCATTGATTGTATTTCTGTATGTGATGACAACATCTGACATACACACATGAAAACCAGAGCGCAGCAGATCATGTGTAAATATAATATTTGTGTCATTCTCAATACTTTTGGCCATGACTGTAGATTCCTGCTTTAGATTCTGCTGTTTTGCAACGAGTTTAGCAATGCAGCCGTAAAAATGCATCTATTTTTGTGAAGAAATATCTGTAAAAACCGGTGGACGCAGCCTCATTTACCGTTTTTCTCCACATTCTTTAACCCTATAATGCCAAATGTATCATATTTAATTCATACGGTTTCTGAAATGTTTTGCATCTGACACCTTTTGCATAATTTAATGGTAAAAACTTTCCTATTGTACACAATCAGATACACCTGATAACAGGGGGCAGAATACTACACAAAAAGTAATTTTGACCTATCGCATAGTAATAAATTATTAATATTAAAAATGTATTTTTGTTTTTTCTTTTTACATATTTTGTTAAAAGGCCAAATAAAGACTTAAAACCCCCAAAAAGTGATTTTCTATTTTGTTTTATTTTTTATTCTTTCAAGAAGAAAGAAGGATCTCTGGTCTTAAAGTGCCTCTTTTCTTGGTATTTCTCAGGCTGTGCTCACTGTTCGGGGTTATATTATTGCAACGTGTTCCAGTTTTGTTTGTGAATTCCTCCTGGAATCATTTTCATTCCTCACTGCTGTATTTTTTTCAGTGTTTCTATCACAGAATGTAACCTGTACTCTACCGAATATATTAAAGAGTTTTGCCTGGTTTTCTGTCTCTCTCTTCCGGGGATAGGAAACCCCACAGGGAATAATTGGTGTAGAGCAGTGTTTTTCAACCTTCTTTGACCCAAGGTACATTTTTTCATTGAAAAAATCTCGAGGCACACCACCAACCAAAAATGTCAAACAAATCTGTAGACGCCTATAGTAACACTATAACACTATAGTTTTTCTTATCTTATTCTATCTTATCTTGTGTCTTGAATAGGAATCAAATTAACACAGAAATGTATTTTTATCATATTTTATATTTCTTCTTTCAAATTGCTCTTAACATGTCCACTTCAATATGAAAATGATATACAAAATCTAGTCATAAGGAATTATTACATGATTACGCCACCAGTCACTAGAACAGCACAGACACTCAGAAATGGCATATTATTTACAGATAATTAATTCCTTATCAAAAAATCTTTTTAGACCAATTAGGTGAAATAGGAGGATTTTCTACGGCACACTAGTGTACCGAGGACCAGTGGTTGAAAAACACTGGTGTAGAGAACAGATGGAAGGAAGTACGATAAAGATAAAAAAGAGTGGATAAGGCTGGTAGAAACCCCTCCTGTAGTTCTGCTTTCTGCTGGTTCAGAGCCATTTTGTCCCTCAATGCTCGCCGTTCGGTTTGTGCTCAGATCTCTGAAGACGAGCCGCCATTTTGTTTTTCCTCCTGCGCCCGAAAACCAAACAAACAAACAAACGGGTTCGGTCCAAAACTTTGGAATGGATTGCCTCTGCACATTAGACAGGCCACCTCTCTCTCTCATTTTAAAACTCTTCTTAAGACCCACGTCTTTTCTTTGGCTTTTGACACCGTGGAGAGTGTTGATTTTATGTATACTCATGCATATTTTTTTACTTTTAGCTGAATTTCTACTGTGTTTTTTATTTTTCTTGATATGTTTTTGTGCAGCACTTTGGAAAACCCTGTGTTTGTTTAAAATTGTGCTATATAAATAAAGGTGGATTGGATTAACGTGCTCACTGAGGCCTGTAGAGTTTTTATTCCAATCGTCCTTCGATAGCTAACCACTTAAATGTTAAAGAGATAAGACCTTTTTGTTGTGTTTCAGATTAATTCAAATTATGTTTATTTTATTCCCTTTTAGATGCACTTTTAAAAACCAGTAAATGCACTGGATGTTTTTGCATTTCCCTATTTTACCTTTAACCCTTTAAAGCCTGATCCAAGAATAAAACAAAACAGAAAATTACTTTCTTTTTTGCTTGAATTCCTTATTTGGCCTTTCAACAAAATATGTAAAAAGAAAAAACTGAAATAAATTTTTAACATTAATAACATACTACTATGCGATAAGTCAAGATTATTTTTTGTGTAGTCTTCTGCCCCCTGTTATCAGGTGTATCTGATTGTGTACAATAGGATTTTGAGCAAAGTTTTTACCATTAAATTATGCAAAAGTAATGCAAAACATTTCAGAAACCGTATGTATCAGATATGATACATTTGGCATTACAGGGTTAAGAAATATAATTTCATGATGTCCTGATACGAGAAACCTCAGAGATAAGGAGTACTTCATGTTCCTCACGTCATGAGTAGTCCATTTATGCTTCGTGTTTCCAGATAACACCAATCACAAGAGGAAGTTGAAAATGCGTTGCGTAATTTCGTGCGGCAGCTGTAAAGAAAAAGCATCATTTTCAGTCGAATCTGGAACCAAAACAGACAAAACTCGCCGATGTGCAGCAGCTGGAAGAAACTTTTTTCAGAGGCTCAAATCCAGGGCAGTTTGTTTCAATGAGCTTTTTCTGTCTCGAGGTCAGTACATCGCTCCAACTTTGACCTGATGCTTTCAAATCCGGGAGCAAACGTTTCTGTTTCTGTGGAGCTTCAGCTCCGTTTGGGTTCGTTTCTGTTTGAATGGAGTGTTGACGCCTTTGAACTGGGATCGATATCAGAAATGGGATATTTTTTAGCTGTGTAACTTAACTCATTGACTGCCAGCCATTTTCAGAACAGAGTTTTTTGCCAGAGTTTTTTGAGCATTTTGACTGATTTTTCAAGAGCCACAGAATAGTTTGTGTTATGACTATGTAAACACCGAACACACCAAAAGAAAGAGTAGACTCTCTTCTTTCATCTGGAAAGAATTGTTACTACATACTCTGTCTAGAAGCCCATATTTACGGACAAGCTTTAGCAGATCGTCCCCCAGACACTCTCGCTGAAAACCATAAAAGACCGCTATAGACGTCTTTGGCAGCCAATGAGTTAATTGCTTATTCAAAATATCTTTCTTTTAACGCTTTTTGATTTTTTTTGTCTGTTTCAAGAGACACAGACATGGACGATTCCAACGACTCGTGGGTGGACGACTATGACTATTATGAATATTATGTAAATGACAAGTTTTTTAAAGAGTTTGAAGTGTACTGGAGCGATAACTCTCTGCTTTGGGCCCCATATGTGACTGCATGGATTGTGATCATCTTAGGACTCCCGTTGACGTTACTGGCAATATACGCTCTCTATTCACTGGTAAGAATCCTCCATCTTTTCTATTTTCGAGAGAATTCCACATCACAGCAAAAAAATGAAAAAGACTAAAAACGGGCTTTTGGTAACAAACGGCTCACATGTTCTGCAACCAGCAGTTTCCACTGCTGGACTCCAGCTCTTCAGCCTCAAAAGCTCTGAGATGCAACCCAGAATGAGCCTGTAGGACCCAGAATGAGCCTGTAGGACCCAGAATGAGTCTGTAGGACCCAGAATGAGCCTGTAGGACCCAGAAGGACCCAGAATAAGTCTGTAGAACCCAGAATGAGTCCGTAGGACCCAGAATGAATCTGTAGGACCCAGAATGAGTCTGTAGGACCCAGAATGAGTCTGTAGGTCCTGGTTTCTGACTCCATTTGGACTGCAGGTCTTCAGCGTCCTCCATAGAAAAGAACAGAAAGGCAGAAAAGCATCCGTTTGTTCCAGGAGTCCAGAGTTTAACCAGCAGGGGGAGTCCCAGATGGAGCCCTGCTGCCTTTCTCTGGCTGGACCAGAGATCTGCTCAGTGGAGTTTAGAGACCAGCCCCCCAGATCCAGGATTCAGGTTTTAGGATTTAGGGGGAAAACGCAGAGAAAGGCTCCCAGATGCAGCAGGGCAAAGACAGAGGAGCCAGCAGGTAGAAGCAGGTCTGCACTAAACCAGAGAAGAAGAATATGAAGAACGAGAGGAAAA